CCCATTAAAGGTGAGCACCACTTGGACTGAATGTGTGAGAGAAACGTAAAAGACGCTGTTTGCAGTGAAATTAGTGTCTGACAATAAGCACGACGCAATCGTGTGCAAGACAGCCTTGATGGGTACCCAATACCTGAAGATTGTTTTAGCGCAAGTCCCATTCCATTACGTGAGAACACTTGCTGGCCTATTTTCGTTTTCTAGCTTTCTTCAGTAGCCAAAAGTCAAGCTTGCTAGACAAATGGAAACAGAAACTTCGAGTAGCTTGCGCATTTCCAGCAACAATGACGGGAGAATCATATTAGTGACTGCTTTGCGAAATACAGGAATGGAAGGATCAGAATTCCTGATTTTGACAGTTCGTCCCATTGTTTGCAGAGAGCAGAAGTGCTGCTTTAATGGCACAATAGGAGCCTACATTTGAATGCAATAAAACAGTAAGTAGCTTAATATTTGGAGGTATAAAAATTTAAGGACAACCAACTGTGCATCCGCCCGTGGGGATCCGATTCCAACGGTTCCCATGCAAGAGCCTTAGGAAGTGTAGTTGTGACCCTTATATGGGACGGTGAAATGTCTGACTAATCCTGGACGCTCAAATGGACCATCTGCCACCATAAGTATACCAAAAACTGAAGATTAATTATCCTGTGGGAGTAGAACGGCCTTCAAACCCTTCCATCCGCAAGGGCTGGCGTACAATGTACGTTGGAGAAGTGGAGAAAGAGACTGTCGCAAAATTAATGAACAGTACTAGTAAAGCTTTTATGTGAGAACTTCCTATGTATTAATCAAAGTCGGGAAGTAGGAGCATAAAGAGGCAATAAAACAAATGTAGCTTCTGCTTCCTGGATTGTTTTGCTGTTCAAATTCTTTTGTGCCAAACTGGCATATGAGTGTGCTTGAAAGTCCTCCTTAATAAACATGGCCATTACCACCTACCCCATCCCTCCGGCAGCGACTTGTCATCCTCAAAGGAAATAGCCGATTGTCGTCCAGAGGCTTCAACTATACCTTCTGACCAATCAGAATGAGGGAGACGAAGATTGGGTTGCGATGTGCCGCCCCACCTTGGTTGAATCCGCTCGGGTGTCAGTGGGGGCGAGGGGTCAAAAAGAGTGCGAATAAGTTCAGCCCAGAAGCTGGAGCCTACTGCCAATGTGACGTGTTGATTGCGACCTCTACGGCTACCAACAATGTCTACCATTGATTGAGATGTGGTAGCTTGGCCATTTCTTAATAAAAAAATTGCTACTGAAATAATATAAGTGGACAAAACACTTAAGACGAGAAATTGAGAATGTTGATTCACCTTTACCGAAAGCAAACAGCCGGTAAAAGTCCACATTCTTATTAATAGTGGCAATAAAATAGTTACTAAATTCTTAGTTTAACCCTATCATCAGCTGCCCTGAGCTGGCAATCCACATGACATTCTCGAAAACAACTCAAACTAAGTTTACTCTTCTCGTTAACATCTCAAAGAAGCGCAGTAAATACTTTGAAAGAATCAGTAAGAACACGTAACTGCTAGGTGTTCGAAAAAAAAAGGAAATAAGGAAGAATTACAGCTGTGTGACATAGCACAATTCAATGTACTGCGGTTGCAGCAGAGACTCCTGGCGTGCAAACTCAATAAGTGCGTATGGTCTTCTGACGCATATCACTTGGAGGATTGTGGCTGAGATATGCATAAGGAGAGAGTGACAGTAAGTCTGAAAGTCGAATAGGATATTTAAGACGCCTTAAATGTAAGAGATTCGAAAGTAGTCCAACAGACTGATCAGGAACTGTCACCATTTCCGCATTACTTGAGTGAGATCACATGATCAGATAAGTGCATAAACTCATCCGCACAATTCCTCAGCCATGTGCACAGTGACCTAAGTAAAGCAGTATTTTTTCAACGACCGTAGGGTTTCCTATGACATTTTGCCCGAAGAAGGAATACTTGCTGTGGCCTGCAGTTATTTGTTATTGTTGAGCCATCCGCCTGTGCATCTTGGTCTCCAATGAAGAAAGTGCCAAAGATTGGAAAAATTTACTCAAATGAGCCCAAGCTTAAAGGTAAATATAACGTTGATCACGTATCAACACGATACTACTCAGATTAAATTTAAGTAGACCCCGGTAGGCTTGTATCAAGGCATAATCGAAAATTTTCAGTTACCCGAGATAACCACAAGTATTACCATAAACATGAATTGTGAAACCCGATCACTGTCAAATTGTGGCCTTAGACATTGACTAGGTCAAATTCTGCGGTCACAGAGATGAGAGGACATCGCCTCCATCTGCCATATTTTTAAATGAATAGAAAATGACCGTAAAGTCTGCTTAAACACAAACTATACGTCAAAACGGTCGAAATTTTCTGGTCATTGTTTATTTTATGTGGGATGACAACTCGGGTGGCACCCTTTGCTGCTAGTTACACAAATGGTCTGTATTTCACGCATCTCACCTTTCTATCCCTCCTCTGCTGCAAATGCATTTGCCTAACTTTACAGTCAAAAAAGAAGAGTGGCAACTTGATCACATGCATATGGCCTCAAAGAGAAACACCCACGGAATGTAGGTTGAAGGGAGGCGTTTCCTCGTAGGAATAGGACATTCCTCAACACTGGGGGTTTCTCAGGGAGAAAATCTCCTTTTATGCGCCTCCAAGTTGCATTAAACAAGTAACGCTCTGTTTGGCCTTCATACAGTGGAGAAAGAAGACACAGTAGCCAAGTGGACTTTCAAAGCACAATCCCACGGAACCGAGGTAATGCGTACTCCAGAAGTGGGTTTGTTTGCATGTAGAACGTCAAAGAACAAAAGACTTCCCTCGCCACAAGTTAACCGTGCTAAAGCACACAGACACACACATGCACAAACAAGAGTTGAAATTTATTACACATCATCTGGACAACGTGTGTGAATAAACGCCATCGCGACCCGCTCACTTAATGTCGAGGGACGAGGTAACCGCCTCACCATTCATGCTATCCAGGACACGAAAGTCTTGAATCAGAATAAGGCCAGTATTCACAGCTTACGCGAAACTTGTTTAATCAACGCCTTAAGATGGAAGAAAGAAGAGGACGATAGTATGGTGTGCTGGAGAGATGCACAGCTATGCATTTTGAAAGTCCCTACACGCTGCAAGGAGAAATACTGCGTAGAACTGGAGCAAAAGATGCACTCAAGTGCTAGGTCATGCCGACCCAAGGGAGAGAGGAAGGTGAGTGAGGAAGCCATCAATCCCATCGTGTACTTGAGATTGGAAAGGTGGCATTGATTAAGATGCAAAAAAGTACACGCTTCATCAACTTGAAATTTGACAACCATGAGGTCGAGATAATCGTCATGACTGAAGTAGGCGGGTAACGGGCGCATCTGTTGGGTTCAATCGAAAGATGGGATTTAAAATTACCTGGAAAACGAAGTTCTGGACTTCTTCGCCCGCACTCATGTGGCCGAAAGCCCACTTCCAGTTTTCAATGCACTTTATATTAGTGAGAACTTGAAGGTTGCTTGCAAGGGCAGGTGATATAGTCGTTCTTATTGTGACAAGTTACCTACTATACAAACCCCAAGAAGCCGGAAATTGCCAGTATAGCTTCAGGTAGTAGTAAGTGGTGGTGGAATAACACAATCAAGCAATTTAAATACGCCCATAAATCCCTCAAAAGTCGACATCAAACCTTCAGCAAAGCTCGCATCCATAGATCTGTAATTGGGAAAGTAATTCACAACTACACTTTCAGAAATGATTTATGTGACTGAAGAAATAAATGACACACCTACATCAACTGAAAGGCGCCGTTAAAGTTAGCCTGCTGGTGAATGCCACCCACCCACAGTGGTAGATGGCAGGCAATGGGGTCTCAAAGTCCATTATTTCACTCCCATATCTCGTAACAACAGGATGTTTGTTCATTGAGTGACTCCTGATGGGTAAGATGGAAAAAAAACAACCTTTATTATTCTCCAACAGTACAATCGCTGGCCTTTTTGAGGACGACGGAGTAAAGACTAATACGCCTATCGACGTCCAGACATTTACGATAAAAGCTTATTCAACTAATATGATACAGCTCAAGAGTGCACAAAAAAAATCTCTGTCTAGTTAGTGGTTTGGATGTGTAGCCCACAACCAATATAACACAAGGCTTCAGACCACTTTGAAGCTTAGCCAGGAGAAGGTTTGTGTTTGTGAATAAGGAGAGATTGCTACTTCGTTCTCACCTTCCATACTACCCTTATGATGGTCTTGGATAGTCACATTTGCAGTCAAAGAACTAAAGCGCGATAAGAGACTCGAGAGGAACAGGAGGAAGGTAGGTTACACCATGAGGAAGACATAAAAATAATTGTAGTGACAATATCAACAAAATTACCGGAAACTGCATGGACTTGGATGATCACCTCACACAGTAGACCCGAAACCTTATGGCTGATTGCTAGAATCTGATCACCTTGTTTGTGATCACAAAAAACAAAAGTTCTTCAATTTGATCTGCAATATTGCACAGCATGAATACGGTCAACTTGACTACTTCACGTTCCTTACAGAATAAATTTACAAAACGCTCACAAAAAGGGGCTTGTGATTTTAATGTGACTGTCCATGGTGTAGAACATAACGAGATTCGTTCTGTTGGTGCTAAGCAAAAGTTAACTCGTCCTTATAAACAAAAGAAATTGTGTATAGTCCGAGGACAGTGAGAGTTAGGAAACAAAAATTAAACATTCCACGTGATACAGTGGTCACTTTGAAGGATCTATGGGTAAAAAAATGCACATTAGATGTCTAACAATTCGTAATGCAATACTAAAGACGAGCTTTAACCCCTTAAAGGGAAAAAAATGCATGAACTCCCTTAATGACATGGTCAACGTGGTGCAGGAGTTAATTAACCGATTGACATTCGCAACCCGACCCCCCTGACTTGCTAGAAGAATCGTGGAGCTACGTATAAAAACGTTATTGAATAAGTTGTTCACATACATCATTGCTAACAAGGCGATCCAGGACGACCAGGAGCACAATCATAGATTATTTGCATTAAACAGAGAAAGCGACATGGGATTAAACTTACACAATGTTTGGACGTGCAGTAGGTTCTTCATCATCTCCAATACCAGTAGAAGATGCCTAAAACAAGATTAAGGTAGCATTAAGGTTGGTCGAATCTCGTACAAGATCGAAGATTATCAATGGAATCCTGCCCAAATTGCCTACGGAGATAGAGGATGAATCGGTTGCAGGACGCTCCTGGGCTACCGGAGGAGGAGGAATCAGTCGGAGGTCAACTTCAAGGGGACCGAAATGCACAATGAGAGTTCCGCGAAGAACATCTCGTTTGAACACCGAGAGCGTTAGTGGAGTAGAAGGAACTATGGGCGTGTAAGACATAAATTCATTCCCAAACCTCTCCCATCGTTGGATCTCAAAATGGAGTGGACGTCTAGAAAGGCATCTCCAATCAGTGCATTTGGACCAAATTTAACAGCTTGTATGATCTTGAAATGGAGGGACGAATAAGGCGAAATGATGACAGAAGCTGAATGGTTCCACGATGGTGTCCAAGATTTGGTTGAAACTGAGGTTCTGAACAATGATTTGCCATCTACCAACCCTTCGACAAACATCCGAGCTCCAGCAGGACCTCGAGGGTTTATAGATGCTTGCTTAACTAGTAAATAGCAGATGAGAAAATATTAGAATACCTAAGACGTTAACTTGAAAAAGACCCGAGCCTTGTGGCATAGTTTTCCATTGATGAAAACGCAAAAATTGTAGAGTTTGTGAATTAACGAATGGATGTCTAAGAAAGGGCCAAGAGTTACATCCAACTGAACTTGTCACCCAAAAGATTCAAAGCAACACTGATTTATGTAGACGCGCAAAACCATATAGTAACCAAAGCTAGCAAAACATTAAATTTTAGGGGCTTAGACTCTCGAAAATTGTACTTTGCAATATAATACAAGTTTAGAATTTAGTCCATGTAATAATTTTGCATTGACTTACTTTAGATATTTTTGCATAATTATCCCTAATAAATTTGCTATATGTCTATTTTGTAATTTCGAAAGTATATATGTCTAATTATAAACGTTCTTCGTAGCCTTCCTTTAAAGACTTCCTTGTGATTGGCGTAGATGGTGTCTACATTAATCGTCGCCGTCACTTTGCGTGTGCATTGAGATGCCGTCCGCGCATTTGGAGTCACTTGCTTTTGCAAAAATTATTTTGCATGTTTCCAAATATCCCCATGCTGCTGTCAATGGAGTTCTTTTGGGTGACATTGTTGGTGGAATGCTTGTTATTCATGATTGTATTCCCCTTTTCCATGGATTTCTTACTCTAACTCCAATGCTGGAAGTCGCTCTTACACAAATTGAAGCCTACTGCGACTCCTTGAACTGGAAAATATGTGGCTATTATCAGGCGAATGAGGCACTTAATTCTAACGAGTAGGCCTGCCTTGTACGTTTTGGACTTCTTAGGTTGAACCCAGTTGCCACTCGAATTGGGGACAAGATCTTCGAAAACTGCGGGCAGGGTAACATAATAATCGTTCGTAATGACCGTTTGCGTGCTCTCTCATCTGAAACCTTTTCGCTGTACTGCAGGCGTGATGGTAATTGGCATGAGTCCTCTCGGTAACTTTTGTTTACACTAACCTATCTTTGGTAGTCCTTCAGTGGAACAGTCTGCCGCTGAATTTGTCAAACCTTTCTTGGATGAGACCATCATAGAGGGCTTTGCAGACTTCGATAATCACCTGGACAATGTTCGAATGGATTGGCGGAACATGGACTTCTTTCACGAGAATGAAATCGATAAGGTTAAATAAGTAATTGAATTCATTATGTTTCTATTTTGCATTTTCTTTGTGTGTGCTTTCAACGGTCCTATGCTTATGTACATCTTCATTAAAAGTGTACAGTTTGCCTCGTTCGCCTTATGTTTCGGCATGACAATAGGGTGTGATACATATTTTACGATGAGGTCGTCAGGTGCAAGTGTTTTATGTGTCTCTGGGGCCACTTTGTATGTTCTGGTGTGTTGAAAGTGCAAACATTGAGCAACCGTATCGTCTCGACATTGTTGTTTTTGCCCTTTTTAGGTACGTTAAATGTTTTATTGTAATTCCAGTCCACAGCGAAGTTCTCTGCATTCTCCGCCCCTTGAATTCTTGCACTTGTCCGATATTTGGCGCACATGATCTGGCGTTTATTGCTACTAAAGTAATTTAGTAGGCAGTGGTCACCCAGAGGTTAATCTCGGCAGTTCTTGCGTTCACTTTCCAAATCTTTTAGCAATATGGCAAAGTAGAGTTAGAAGATTAAATTGTTCTACACGAAAAGAAGTTTGTCTTGATGGCGACTAGTGGGCTGTTTGATCGTGTGTTTGAGATTCAATTCGGTAGTGCTTGTTCCAGGTGGTGAATACCTCGGGAACCGCGCAAAATTAATAGTGATGTTAAGCTCTTGTTTCCAGCCAACGCTAAAATAGGTCCACAGCTTGGCGAAGGTCATGAAACCGGCAGTAGTCACATACACTTGAGGGACAGGTCTTACCATTGCTTGATATATAGGCGTCGGTGATCGGGGATTTGTCATGCGAAGTGAAGCTCTCATCTCAAACATTGCTTGGTAGAGTATTATATTTGGCTCAATGTAATCATATCTAGTCATGTTTTGGGTTGATGTCAGAAGCTCTGTCAGGGAATTGTTTTCTCAAGGTCACCAGTGGTAGCCACTGGATAAAAAGAGGCGAGAAGATCTCAAGCCACGAAATATCATGTACCTTCGAATTGCTCCAGATGACGTTCGTCTTCTAAAAGTTAAAAATAGTGAATGAGTCAGTAAGTTGTCCTCTATGAACCTGTAACTTAGATATTTGCACTTGAATTAGGGGCTTTCAAGACTCCCAAGCACTGGAGATAACGGTCGTTGTCAACACCGGGCGACGGGTCAATCGCCTCCACTATTTACCTTATTGAGGTTTCTTTCCCGAAGAAGAGTCGTCCATAAATGAGGTACCTACCGAGGTCGAGTGAGAGGGGTGTTTATACATGACCACCAAAGACACTTTTGTACTCGGAGGGCTGCCTCCTTGGTGCGAAAACTGTGAGATCAGGAAGGCATCATCGTCCATCAATAAAGAACTCAGAATACCAACACAATTACCTCAATCAAACCACACATCTTTACCACAAGCAGCATTTCTGAAAGGGGTTATCATTGTTGGGTAGGGAAGCACAAAATTGGGTCTGTCTTGACAAGTCCAAAATTTCATGTAAAAGCGGGCAAAAAAGGGCGAGTTTAGACTAGATAATTAGTCTCTCTCCCTCCTCACCAAGGCTTCTTCCTCATCATCCCTGGAAGACATTTCAGGACTGGGTCTTCCCCTTCCCCCTATGCTTGCATCCTCAAAGACTTTTAGACCGCACCCAAGTAGTGAGCAGGCTGCCTGTAATTAAAAGAGGGAGGAGGGAGGAGGAAGGCATTTGCAATCATTCTGCTACTTCAAAGTTCCTTCCTCCTACCTGCCCAACTGTAGTGGGATAATCTGCACTCGGGTGTGGCTGTGATGGGACTTGAAAAGAAGGTGGGACTACTGCCATCACCTCCCCTTCCTCTCTCTCTTCCCCACGTGTCTCTGCTTGACAACTTGACCGCTGCAACAGGTCCCACCCATGCAATTTGGGCGGAAACAAAGGATAGATATGCCTTTGCCTTCTTTTAGCGATAATTTTGGTCTTTTTTATCGTAAATTTTGCAAAATGCATCTTGAAAATGATAGTTATGATTAAGAAGCTTGGTAAACGAAAGACCCTTTATATTGAGCACTGCGTTTACCTCTGGAGCATCAGTTTATAACTCTTAATAGGAAGCAAGGAGTTTGGCGTGGTGTTAAACTTCCGGAATAGAATTCCTAAAAACGGATGCCAAAAGGGTTGGTTGATATGGTCATGAAAAAAGGAAGGACGAAGTAGTTTAAGTAATATGATTTTCTGTAAGAGGTCTTTAATAGGGACCGCATTCAATTCTCATCCCCCTAACAACTGTTAAATCCCCTTTGATGAGAAATTTTAATTTAAAATTTACCGAATCCTGTCTGATTTATTGCACCAACACTTATTACTTTTTGACTATACTACTATATAAGTTTGTGAGTAGGCTCCATTTTTTTCCATTCTAATCTTCCATCCAAAAGCATGATACACAGTAGCTTTAAATAACGCAATTATAAATATCCTTTTTTGAGACAAAAATCATGACATCAAAAATGATACATAGGCGTCAATGGCCTTACTAGGTGAAAGGAGCTAACCGACAACTTTTACGTGGTATAGTGAAGGGATTGAAAGACGGGATGGGTGTGAGACTTGTCAGTGGGGGGACGAACTTTCTGTGTTCGACACAGAAATTAGTACTCTCCGATGGATGATAGGTTTCAAGCTGTCAGACTTTAAACAATCGCCCTGACTCGAGTGCAAAGCTGGAGGTTTGATGATGGAAGCATACCGCCAAATGCTTTGCTTTACAGTTGAAACTATTAGGAAATGTCCCTAAGGGAAAAAATGCTTTTGATTTACATCCACTGTAATGTCTTACTTGTACTCGAAAGGTAAAGCTGGAGAAGATGTTGAACTGCCGAAAACAGCAGATGGAATACTTCGCACTTCAGAAGCACATAGCCCCTATACCTTGTTTTTCTGCATCCAAATGTGTCCTAAGAAGGGCAAAGTTAGTCGATGACACCGCCAAATTGCATTCAACATTTTGCGCTTAGGTGTCGCCATCACATTCAGCTCTTTCGATCCTCCTCTCCACGTGGCCTCGACGTCCACGAAACAAAGTTGTGGAGTTACGGAGCTTTCCAGTGAATACACCAGATTTGGGGGAGGAATGATTATTAGTATAAGAACTTTTTTCTCTCCTAAGGTCTTTTTTTTATCCAAATCCTCCTCAAAGGTATCACGAGTGAGTCATTTAAAGAGCCAAGGAACTACTTTTATACTTTATTGACTTTTTGAAAAATACTACTTTAGTCTGCAGTCAAAGGCACAAAGATCACTCCTGTTAACTTTAAAATTCCATAACTTTTGGTTGGGTTGTGAGTAAACCATCGCGATGCAGTCTGTGTGGATGGAGAAGTGCTTGATAAATTGGGTCAGGAGGTGGTTACACCACAAAGAGAAGAAATTACAGACTACGCCTCCTTCACTTAGCATATCCTGTGATGATGGGGATGATGACCATCGTCATGATGATGATGATGACGAGGAGGAGATGAGGCTGGGAGGGTAAGAGAGAGAAGGCTAAAGGTGGGAGGCAACAGAAAGAGGTCTCTGCTGCACCTTTCTCTCAGGACGCCTTTGACAGGTACTCATTAACGCGTTCAATTCGTGTTGGATCATCTCACCTTTCTACACTCTCATTGCTTCCTCTCTCTCTCTCTCTCGCTCTTCTTCCCCTCTCTCTCCCTGCCTCCCTCTCTTCCTCCCTCCATGCTTTTCTGCTCTCATCACTGTGATTTGCAAATTATAGGGGAAAAGCTGCTTCACCAGTTTTTCCAATTAACATCTTACAGCTGAAATAAATGTATCCAAGTAGAAAAACATTCTGAATATATTTTATGAAGAAAAAAAGTACAGCACATTGTTTCTACTTAAACTGTTAACTGTAAGGTATCCCAATGCTTTCATTTAAATGTCTTGAGTGACACCTTTACTGCCACCTTGATTTGAGAGTGAGAACACCTTACATTAAGTGATAAAAACAAGTGTATGGTTAAATGAATGTGAAGCCCTTTAACCTGTTCGATGCCTTAAACACTATCAATCAAAAGTTACTCCTTCTGTTCTTGTTTGTCTGCCTTGGACAAGGTGGAGGAGATGCAAGGTTTTAGTCCTTTGACTCAACACACGCACGCCCATTTTTAAGCTACATTCTCAGGTGGGTCAGATCGGTCCTCCAAGAAATGCCTTTATCTGATTGGTTAGTTTGTCAGGGTGCCAATTTCACACACCTAAACACCAATTTTAAAGAAAGTAATGAGCATAAATAAGAGGGATATGGAAGAACATAATAAACACAGAAAATCACAGCCTTAGTGCATTATTACCTTTATATTAGCATCAAAAATACTGTTCAATTTGGGGATTCGAAAAAGGCGAAATGAAAGTGGAAAACGATGAGGGAGGCAGGTAAGAGTGAAGGTGAGTTGCAGGCGGTGGAAGTGAAAGTTGTGTAAGTGACATTGAAGTGCGTGCACAACGATGTCCCAATGATCGTTTTGCGGCTCTTTGTTGTTGTTGTCTTGCTGCTCTCACAGAGAGGCAGGTCTTCTTGTAGGGATTCACAGCATGATGATGCGACTTATCGAAGTGACGACCCAAATCCCACTTCCACTTGTAGGTCAGACCACAGATTACACATTGATGTGGACGCTCCTTTGAGTGAACCATTATGTGCTTCTGCAACTCAGTTGGCCATTTGGCAAAGTAGTCACAGTGTGGACAGGGATAGCCTGTCCTCTCCACTGCTCCCCTTCGGAGGGTTGTTTGTAGTTGCTGTAAAAGCAGTAAAGATGAAATTTGCAAATTCCTTTCTCAGCACACTTAAAAAAGGTTAGTAATAATTACTTGGACAAATTTGATTCCAACGATTTGAGTTAAGCTGAGATATTTACATTAGTTCGATAGCTCGGTTTGGTGCTCTGCTGTCCTATGCATGCTTATTCAAACCAATCCACTTTGCGCATCGACAATAACTTCATTGTGAAGCTGTGACAGACAATTTTGCGGTCGTAGTAGCATTTGGAGGTGCTACCTTAAGACGACTCCACATGAATGGTTTATTTATTTTGATGAACAACTTGACTACAACCTTATGCTCAAGTGTGACAGATGAGAGGCGATCCGTTCCTCCTATGCGTTGTTGTCTGGAGGACTAGCATCGTTGGTCGCCCATAAAAACAAAAAAATCAAACACCTCTAGCATACATTGCTGCTCATTCTCACGAGTTTAAGCCTTTCTGCGTGATACTTTTGACATCTTTCGTCCACGTGCCGCCGTGACACACTCCAGTCAAGGAAGCAGAGCAGTGCAGCAGAGACCTCGTAAAAGTAGTGAATAACTAAATGCGCCACAAAGTCACCCAATTCTACGCTTTTATTAGCAATTACCTACTAAACTTATCCATCAAGCACTTTATTTCAAATAAGATATTGCTTTAGGTGTGTTTACAAACCTTTGACCAATTTCACAAAACCTTTTGATTACAAACTTTATTAATTGCCTACAAGAAAATTACATCTTCTTTGGAGGGTAATTTTACCGCTAACGTTCTTCTTGCCCTCTCCCTCCTTGCAATGTCACTGAGAGATGAGCTTGTTTATCCAGTTAGTTTTCCTCCTTCGCCATGTTGGAGGGATTGTTGGATCAGAGTGCATAAAAAGGTCGCATTTTTTCCTACTATTATTCAATACATTATTTGTCTTTTTTCGTTGAGTTCGTTTATCTCTTTAAGGCAGAGGAGCTGTAATGCAAGTATTCAACATAACAAATACACTGCGCCCTTCGATGTTCGCTTTGGTAATAAAGGATCGAGGATGGCAATACTGTCTTTTGGACGCGTTAAAAGGTTCAGGCGCCACCTATACCTGTTTAATGTTGTTGATCAGAAAGTTTTTGTGGAATGGCCCTTACTTCAGACTGGAGATCAGATGATTCTAATTCAAAAGGATGACAATGTCATACCTGGCAGACTATGACGATAGCCAATTCAACTGTACTGCCTCAGAAATGAACATAATCGTGTTAGCATGCAGTGAGGCACGCCCACCACCTAAACAGAGCACACCGAATGAGGTGTGCACACACTATGTGCTCAAAAACTGTTACTTTGAAATAGGTTTGCATTATAACAACTTGGAGTGGGGTAGTCAAAAGGTGACTAGGTAATTAACTTTTTGCCTATATGCCTTCAAAGCTTATAATCAACTTTACTTACATGCACTGAGATGTTCTCCAAGGAGCACGTCTTCCACGACCTATTCTGCGTGAACTCTCGCTGTAAAGTTGATTGATGCTCCCTTAGAAAATGAATATTAAGATCCCATAGAGTAGGAAACAATCGTTTGCACTCAAAACATCGAGGAATTGGCTGTTTCCCTGATCCATGATGGTGATGATGATGGTGATGATGAGAGTGGTTATAATTATTGTGGTAGGTACTATTGATGGTCTTAGCCCGCCTCTGTACAGGTTTACTACCAGAGGCTACGGTAGCGGTCTTACGACTCAGATCTAGCGGTGCCTCTTTGTTCATCAAACACGGAGGCCATGGCGCAGGCGAGGGAGGCGGAAGAAGTGGAGGCAGAGGAGGCGGAATGTGAGGCAGAGTAAGGAGTCTGAAGATTTCCACAAATATGTTGCTGACAGAGGGAAGGTGATTTTCCGTTGTAACTGGGGCTAATCCAAGCCATTGTGAAGGTTTAAATTTCTAAAGGAAAAGTGTTTTTGCAATGTTTAGATTTCCTAGATTAGTGCTAATTTTTAAATTTAAGCACATAACCCACAAATGCACCAAAGGAGCATTGGAAAACAACCCTGTTGATAAAAAGCATAGACAGATGGATGAAGGAAAGGTTGGTTGAATGAAGCAATAAAGATTAGTTGAGGAAGAAGCAAAATTTGTGCATCATCCAGTGTGCAGTAGTAATCTAAAATGCAAACTAATCACGGCAGTACATTGAATCAGCCCCCTTGAAGGGAGCAATATGTATCTGTTACATGAACAACTAGTGAGTTTGGAATCCCTTTTTAAGGTTAGAACAATTGTCCGACGCCTATGCGTTTGTCACTGATAGACATCAATGTTTGGTGTATTGGAGAGGCCAATTTGGAGTCCGCTAAATGTGACAAAGGGACAACATTGATAGGATTGTGTGGATGTTCATCCATGCAGAAAATCGCCTAAGCGGATAATTAAAGAGTAAAGCAAAGGCAGAAAGCAAGAAAGACGAGTTTCAGCCGATGAGTCGCTGGTGGTGATGTTGGTGGTGGTGGTGGTGGTGATGGTAGTGTGGATGTTTATGCAAGCCACACACCTATCCATCCTATCCTTCTCCTATCCTTGTCCCTTCCTCCACTGAAAATTGGGGAGTCACACTTCTCCTGAGTCTTTGTGAGTTTCTCCCGGCAGTTGTAATTACAGCGCTCTTTGAAGTTCACAAAGCAAGAATGAGAACAAAAAGACTACTATCATTCTGTTGCCTTCAAATGCGTCCCATACTAGGGAAGTTTAAGAAGCCTTTGACCTAGCATGGGTAAACACGCTTTCGATCAGGGAAGCCGAAACAATAGTGAAACTGTGAGTAGGAGAGTAACGCAATTTCCATTGTGTGCAGAGAGTCACAGCTATGTAATCCTAACATTAACATTGCCAAATCATTTCGCAATCTAACTGATAACAGTAGCAAGAACGAATAATGAGGAGGAAGGACCTATAACGTAATAAGAAAGATGGATTCATGGCAATATAAATCTTAAAACAAGTTTATTTTATCGAAGTGCGATTGTATCCACTTTCCTGCTCTATTAATACAGTCTTGGGAAAGTGGTGTTTATATTGAACTGTGCTATGGTTCTTTAAAGAGACCTGGTAAATCCACCTGAGGTTGGACCCTTTGTTTATGCATCGGAGTAAGCGAATCTCTTTGGTGATCTTGCTTAAACAATCTGTACGACTCAAATGTGGAAATGCAAGTCAAGTGTCTAACCATGGTGTTTTCGGCATCGTCTACCAATTGCCCTCCTACTGACACCAAGACTGATAGTGATGGTTTAAAAAAGGCATACCATTGACTATCGTCAAATTATTTGTCTATACTAATACTCAAAAATTGCATTGTACAAATTCATCTTGGTATGGCTGTAATTTTACGCAATTTTTGAGCCCAAAAAATGAAAATCCTTTTTTTCTAAATTGATTAACTGCTATGAGTTAGGTCATAAGTGAGTAAGAAGAAGGACCCGCCTGTTTGATGCGCTTATGATGATATTTACTACAGCCAATATAGGTGAACGAAGGTGAGAAAAGGAAAAGCATCTCCGTCACCAATTTGACTAACAACACCATCATCACCATTTAAAAGTAAATAAATGAAATTCAGAGAGGATAGGATAGTAATGTGCTGAGAGCTTGGAACGGCCGAGTATCTAAACCTGTCTCACCTTATGATTAACGACATGTAGATACTGTTCAAAGTAACTTACTGGAATCTTTTTTATCTGATCGTTTATTGCGAGAGCTGCAATCGAAAATGTGTCCATGGGACCGCCTAATGTGACAGTAAAACGCATGCTCTATTTAAAGGACCGTTTGAGCACACGACCGCACCCCCACCTGGGATTGGTCTAAAATACCGCTACACGCACACTGCTCATACAATTTTCGTAGCTGATTGGGTAGTTCAGTGTGCACGCTACCAAAGTCACCAATCATCTCCATGGGGCTACTAACGCACAGATTTGAGTGTCTTAACAACTTTCAAAAGCCCTAAATCGCAACATGTTTTGTAGTTGCATCTAAAGTGAGTTCGTCTGTTTTGCAGCTAGTTCATGTAACTCCCAGCCAATGAAACCTATTTCCCTTTCCTTGAACGTAAGCGAACAAGATAAATTGCTAAGTTCAAGTCGTTACTTTAAAAATGTGCAGACGGAGAAAGTTCGCGATTATTTTAATGACTGGGCGTTATCGAAGTATGTGCTTGCGTTGCACAGACGCAGAGAATTTATTGCTACGATTTGCACCTTAAGTACTCACCAGGTTAGGCCATATAGCACGGTGCACATTTTATTGTGCCAAAGTAAAAAGACTTGACGCAAATTACTAAATACACATGCATTTGTGAAATTTAGGCATTCAGATACACAAGGTTATAAATCTTTAGTTTTGACTTTAATTTCTCCTGCTGTAATCATCTTTGCCCGCTTTTTCTCCTCCTGGAGGGCCTCCCAAGTTCTCAAGCTAGCCACACGTCTGGCTCTTAGTCTGATCAGCAACATGTAAACCAATATGACAACCATGAGCACAATTAAAAGAGCGACAATAGCTTTCCAGTTTTTAGTAATAAATTTTCTCAGCTAAAACATAATGCAATTTCAAGTAGTTACTGATAAGATTTAAGTAAAAATGTGTTGATTGAGGTTGACATACCTTTTCAGTCAGAGTCGGAGGTGAAACTACAACCAAGTGAATGGCATTTGTGACAAAATTATGCTCACCTAGACCCTTAGGTACATTTTGAACAATACACTGGTAGTAGCCACTCATGGAATATGCCACAGCATCAAGTTGTCTTGTGTCAGTGTCAAAAAGAGTCATGACCATGCTTCCTTCACTCATATTCGCTAAAATGTCCCCCTCTTCTACGACGCGAGGGGGCTTTAAATCTGCCGTCCAAAGCTTCTCGATCGGTTTTGTGCCGAGTGCTGTAGCTTTTTTGTCTGGACGATACGCCCAGAAAGTTTTCCAATTATCATTAGGAGTTTGTTGAATAATAGGCCATAGTCCTTTAGCGTTGCAAGTGAGTGTAAAAGGTTTGCCACTTTCTATCACCTTGAAGACGAGGATTCCAATGCTAATTAATATAATCGCCTACCACCACCTTATCCGACAAATAGACGGCGAAAAAACATATTGTGGAGAACTGTAGAGGTTCATACTCATATCCGAATCGATAGATGCCTTCGTCAGCTTCGTCTAGACTTCGTATAATAAGCATATCTCTCGATATGTGCAATCGTAGGTTATCACGCAGTGGTGTGCCAACAAAGTCGTACGCCTGGTACTCAGATTTACCGATGCTACGAGTCCACATTGCACGAGCGCGAGGAAAACGATATCGCTTATCGTAAACTTCGATTCGGGATCGGAGCTGAGGAGAGCAATGCAGACCCACGGGATCATGGCGACTGCCAGGTAAACCGCCTGACCACACCCATGCATCCTCAGGGCGTTGATGCTGCAGGTCGTCGACTGTAATATTCACCTCATAGTCGGTCAGACGTCTGAGATAGGGGCAGAAGTTCCGGTTGCAGGCATCCCACCTAAGGCAGGATCCAATCAGGGATGATGAAATACATCACTTTTGTGTAATTGTGCTATACTTAGTCTACTTCATTCGGAATTTAAATACTCCATACCAAAAGCTCTAGATGGTGCTAAAGCACGCTTCTTTCTCATAACCATGCTCAACATGCAGTGTCTAAATAAAAGGTATTTTTGTCCGTGTTGGGCATCAATACAGCAAAATTAGGGGCTAGACATGAATTAAACTTCCTCTAAACGAATTAGTAGGATATTTAAGCATGACATCTGCGGAAGTGGATACAAATGTGACAAAATGTAGCCGGTGATGTAAATGCCAACAACTGGCCTATGCTTCGTGGACCCATTAAGTTCGCTTCTAACACAACTGACTGAGAGAACAGGCAGCAACATGTAATAAAGAGAGTGAAGGAGAAAGATGCCACAAAATTCGACTTGGGACACATTAACTTGTAAAGAAAATGACTTTTAGACAATGCACACAGTAATAGTGTATTTAGCCACTTAGCTTTAGGGCATGTTGTTAATGCGAATCGTGTAGTGACAGCGCAATTGTTTGTGAATTAATGAAATTCCAAGCCCTGATTTAGTTCCAATTCTGACCTCCAAAATTGGTAGTCATCCTACTGCATTACGTCAGCGTGTGGTCGTGAAATATAGGGGACAGAATTTTGCAAACGTTTCTAAAAATTAGAACTGTTTCAAAATACTAGGCTAGTAATTCCCATGAGCCTAAGAGATTTAACTGTGCAAGATTGAAAATCACTTTCGTTGTTAAGCCGATGGTTATAAAGTGAAGCCTATTCCTTCGACATATTTGTACCAGTCGGTATGAGTGGCCAATAAAACTGTCTCCCCTTCCCGCATTCCAATGAAGAATACACCAGCATCGCGATTTAGCGCCACCCGATCGGTCAGATGGAGCTGATGGAAATGCAACCAAAGATACAGTTTTTACCGGTGCAAGAGCTTTAAGTGAGACTTACTTCCCTGAGCCATCTGCAATTGCTGCAATGTCTGCAGCAGATGGTATAGGCAAGTCTTCATCATCACCCTCTTTACTATCATTGACACCTTTATGAGTTGCAGCAGCTTGGAGGTGGGATTGAGCAAGCATTGCAGCCTCCTTGGCTCCTGGAGGAGGAGAGCATCTTTTGCCACCGTGGGCAGGAGAGGGACAGGCGCACAGCCGAATTCGCAATCCCATTCCACTGTCACCGCAGACCGCAGAACACTTTACTACTGTGCTTGACCATGGACACCAAGAGCCGTCTACTGCACATGGCACACCAGTATCACATTCAACCTACAGGAGGTCACAGGCGTTTTACAATACCATTTATGACAAATGATATAAGAGGCTAAATTAAAATACAACTGCTGATTGTTTGACAACTGGCGTGATTCATGGCCCTAATTAGGCATACTGGTAGAATGCAGAATGTTGTAACAATATGAGCATTCAAAGCTCTGCATTTAATGCACTCGTCCCAGCAATTCGCAATGCTTCGGTTTTTATATTGACGGCTCTGTGGAAAACAAGCAGCCTAAAATTTGAGCACGACATCCAACAAAGATAAACTTATGCTTCTGACATACACCTGTCCACAATGCTCAACTACTTCCGATCTTGGGAAAGATTAATCTTACATGCCTCATTTCTCCTAGGCATGCAATGCAAAATTCACCGTTTGAGAGGAATTCGCTCACGAAAATGACTGATATTTGACTGGAATTAGATGTAGCCTTTGAATGGGTAGTGAGCAAACATCTTGCTGCCTCATCTACAATGTCGAGTTGAAGTTTACAACTGTGCACAATTCTACCATCAGATGATGATCTTAAACACACTGATAGCGAAATCAGTATTGTGAATGCTTAACTTTATAGAAGTAAAAAGTGCTTGCTGTGGATAGGCAAATAAAACTCCGTATGAACACTTCTTTACCATAAAAGTTAAGCTTCAGTAGGTCGATGAAAAGAAGGTGATATTCCAAAATAAAAGGCATTAGAATGCTATACCGTAGGGGCAGGATGGAAGAAAGGAAGGGTAAATGCAAATTTACCATATTTCCCATCCCCGAAGTTGCCTAAATGCGAATTGTCCCAGCAAAGATAATCGGACAATCATATGCCAAAGCGAATGCGTCTTGATAAATGGAAACGAGGTAAAACTGCAATTTGCCAATTCGACCTCGCAAGTTTTGGGAGAATCGAGAAGATTTAAAAGTGCAACAAAGGCAAAAGGCTTTGACTTAGAAGTTGATTTTTAAATGTCAGGGACGAAATCCCTATTGCTATTCGTACAAATCAACCTGGGTTGTTGTTGTTCTCGCAGGCGCTGTTACCGAGATGCATGGAAACGTTATTTTCGCATAAACTAAAGGTCAAATTTGTTAGAGCGCCCACGTAAATTAGGGCCTTTGAATACATCAAAGAGGCTCACAAATTTTCACTTAATTAAACCGAACCGTAATTAAAGCAGTACTGATCAACTTGCCGAATAACACATTCATAGATATGTGCCGTTGACAAACTATTTCCCCCAGATCAGAAGCTGTTTCCTCTTCTCTCACTCGTACGAGCGGTACGAAATCTAATTGAACAATGTACATTAGGTCTCAAGGTGCCTAGAGTGCCAGTTAGGAAGAATAAGGTACTTAGTATGCGGTCGAAAAAAAACAATTTCTGTCCAACGAAGGGATTTACTACCAAAGTCATGATAAGTGAAAATCTCTTTAATCATTCGTAAGAAAAAAAGGCTTCATAGCGATTTACAGCAGTGTACATAGTATAACTTTTACAAAATTCCAACAAAGAAAAGGAGAGATGTTGGTCAGAATAAATACCGAGGCTGAATTCATTGTTGTAGTAAAGTCACACAATGCAACTCGTCCATCAAGATGGACAAAAAATGTTGTCGGATTCTCCCCACTTAGGTCACGTCACCACTTGTCAGCGAACAAATGCCAGAGAGGAATGACAGAAGGAATGAATCTGTGGTGACTCAGTGATACAGCCGCAAGGAGGCAATGAAAAAGACTTGAAAAGATTCACACCACGATTATTCACCAGTCTGGTGAGTGACATGGAGGAGGAAGGGAGGGAGGAGAGGAAATTGAACAAGGTGGAGACAATCCATCCAACCGACAATGCCACTACTAGCCTAACGACGCACGGCCAATCGAGGGCACCGACCGAGGACACTTGCTCTGCTCACTTCTGCAACAGCATTGCACCACTGGATAAAAGAAGATGGCAGACCCAATTTCGCCGCCT